CCTGGTCCCCAATCACCCGCCCCCCTGGGGGGGGTCTCACCCCCGGCATCCGCGCCCCTCGCCGGGCATCTCGTCCCTCTCCCCGGCATCTGCTGCCTTCTGGGAGGTCTGTCCCCGGGGGGGACCCTGCTGAGCATGTACTGCCGCCCACCCAGGGTCTGCTACCCCCTAAAGGGTCGGCCCCGCTGGGGTCTGGACCCTCGCCGGAGGTCTGCTGCCCCCAGGGGTAGCTGTTCCCCCCGCATCTCTTCCTCTCCAGGGAACCTGTCGCCAGCCCAGTCCAATCCCCCTCCCAGGGGTCCGCTGCCCCCCGTGAGCATCCCCTGCCCCCCTGGGATCTGCTGCCCCAGAACCTGTTGCTGCCCCAGTGCTCCCCAGGAGCTGCTCCCCACCCTGGAGCACACGGAGGGTCCTGAGCCCCCGCAGAGTGCAGATGCTTTCTCATGCCCATGGACCCATGTCAGCCATTCCCATGGCCAAAAAGGGCTGCAGGGCCCAGGCCCTGGCTCAGTCCCTGTCCCCTCTTCCTCCAGGGCCTGGCTGGCACCAGGCAGGGATGGGGCTAGGACAACACCAAAGTGCTTTTGCTCTGAGGACCTGCCTGGTAAACGTGGGATCTCCAGCCACCTCCCACAGAGGGTACACAGCCCATTTTTTGGCTTAGATAAGTTCCCAGGTCCACGCTGGCCCTGGGTCCCAGCCAAGGTCAGGGCTGGGAGGAGCAGGGAGGCGTGGAGTGAAGGAGGAAGCACGGCAAGGCAAATCGCATCTGTCCCCAAAGAAGGGGATTGATCTTTTTAAGCCTTTTTTCCCCAAAGGAAGCAAGCTGATGCGATTCATTTCCCGCATGTTTGCTTGCATGTCCCCTTAGAATCCGGGGCCCAGTTCCGTCCCATTAGACCTCACCAGCACCCCCACAGGGCTGGGCGAGATGCCGGCCCTGCGGTCTCGCCCTTGGAAAAGCTTCAATCAAAGCTTCGGGTTTTCTTCTGCATCAGATCAACCTTGGGGCAGAGCCGTAGGAAACCACGTTTCCTTATTGCAGTGCTACTGTAAATAAAACGCCTTCTGTTTCTGCCGCTGGCTGGTCCCTGCTGCCAGCCCCATGAGGACACAGAGGGGCAGGATGGGGCCCTGCAGGGATGGGTGTGGGGGCAGGGGCACCCAGCTCACCCCCCCAACACCGCTCGGTCCCACAGCTCTCACCAGCACTGAGGTCAAACCAGTAGGAAAACAGAGTTTTATTGGGGAAAGCAGCTTTGCACAAAGAGTAACTGCAGCGTGGCACCCCAAAAAGTTGTTCTGACAGGTTCGGGAAAGGCAAGAGGGGACAGGGAGGGGCTGGGAGAGCAGGACCTGCCTGCATGTGGGGCTGGGGGAGCACAGGGCTCCCTCCACATTGCTCCACAGCACTCCGTGGCTGCAGCACTCCTCTCCAGGTTCCCCCTCACCCCAAATCTCCCCCAGGCTTGGGAGGTCTGGCCAGGATGGGAGAAAGAGGAAAAAACCTAATTCTTGCGGCCTGCCTATCCCCCTCCCTCACCCTGTCTGCAGGGACCGGCACCCACACGTGCGCCCATGGACAGAGACCGGGGGCTTCATCCCCACGGCGGGGGCACGGCCCTCAGCCTGCATCCTTCCCCCTGCCCCGACTTGTGTGGCCAGCGTGATATTTGCACATACACATCAGAACGGGTCCATTTGCACGTCTTTCCTCATCAGCTCGTGTTAAAACACTGCACCCCACTCCCACCTCGGCGTTGGGGTCCCACTCGCACCGCGACAGTCCCCGGCTGTGGCTCGCCTATGGGCACCAGCCTGGGGCTTGCCGGCGTGGCTAACGGAGCAGCACGGCGACTCTGGCTCAGCCCCTCCGGCACAGCGTCACCGCTCGCCCCTCGCACAGCCAGAAGACGGGATAGAGAGCCTCGGTGAAGACGTCGTGGAAGGAGTGGATGAGCTGCGTCCTCTCCCCGAGGCCGTAGAAGGAGAGGAGCCCCTTGCCGTAATCCAGGCTGAGCCCCAGGTTCTTATAGAGCCGCTCCTGGATTTTCTCCGCCCGGCCCTTGTGCCAGGCCAGGTAGCAATCCTCCCGCACCTGCAGCCCCCAGGAGCCCCCGTACAGCCCGATGTTGAACTTGTCGCCATGCCGCA